AATTGAATTACTGATAGAAGTCTAATAATTTTAAACTCGGTGTTTCAGAGGTCTGCCTAACAGAAAGGAGAAATAGTCTTATAGGAAAAATTATTCCTCTTCACATAGCACCTGTTGGTGGCTTTGGGGAAACAGGTGAATGAAAAGGAAAGGAACATAAACATAGATTTCCAGTGTATAAGAGTGGCTAGTATGAAAGTGTGTTGATCTGATATAAAACATTTCTTAAAATGCAGGCTCTAGGAATGCAATGCCGTTAATTGAGGGGCAGTTAATACAGATAAAATCGCAAGTTGCTGGCATCATTATCTAAAGCAGCCCTTCCCTAACTTCCCCAAACTATATCTTATTACTTTTTTATTACTGCATACTTCAAACCAGGTGTCACTACCATTCTGGCAGGCCCTGTCTCATCTCATGTTCTCTAGGACGGAATTCCAAGGCCGGTACTGGGCTTGCTCCATTGGTATTACTGTTTTTAAACATCTGCTTAAATTGAGCATACTGCTTCCTCTTGTGTGATGTGGGCATGACTCGATGCCCTGTATTCTCATTACAGTTGATACTGCATGATTTTTGTGTGCTGTTCATACTAGTTAAATGTTAGATAAGCAGGAGTATCAGAGGTCCTTTGTTTCACCAGACTTTAACCCAGTTCTTTTCCCTCACATTACCTGCCTAGTTCCTATGTTTTCTAGCATACCTTAATGAGAGACCAAGTTTTTTTTCAGTACCATACTTCAGACAGTGCTTACCACGTTGTTTTCATAGTGTCCTGGGGTTTTTTTTAGGGCTTCTAAAAAGGCAAATATTCTCAGGTGATGTTTTAAGTTTTCATAGTAATTTTCTGATTTTATTTCATACAGCCCTGGGTTGAATGGAGCGTCTGTGCATTAGTTCTATGTTTGTACAGATATTCTAGACAGAGGTAAAGTGAAGCAGGCAGGACTGCATTTGCAAAAATGAAAACTGTTTTTGAGTGTCTTTTCCCTTTTTGAAGCCTGCTTTCTTAAGGTAACTATGCTTAAGCATCCCAGCACTTGTGTAATCTAAATCATTATTTATTGTTGAAAATATACGACAAAGCATTGAAGTTTCTGGTCCAGGTCTCTGTCAAACCATTGGTAGAACAGTGAGTCCTGATTCCTGTACACCCCTTCTCATCATGCATTCTCTTTCACTTTGTCATTAAGTTCAGAAAATATATATTTCATGAAATGTGCTGCTTCTCACTTAATCTACCTGAATGTTTCTGTCATCAAGTAAGTAAAGTAACGAACACTTTGTGAAACAACAGGTAAGCAGAGTGGATAAAGATTGTATTACCTTACTTGTAGCTACTGAGCCTGTAAATAATTAAGCAATTACCATCACTGTCAGGTTTATTTATTTATTTATTTATTTTTTAAAGCACCTTTTTCAGGTTGCGTTGTAGGATACTCAATGCTTTGAGGTGAAAAAATAGCAATGGAACAGGACTATACAGTTAATAACAGGACTGATTTGTACACAGTGTAAATGAAAGCAGCCTTTAGATCTCCTTTAATGATCTCTGCACAATTGCATAATGACTTGGGAATAAACTTTTCTTAATACTTAACTGCCAATGAAGTAAGCTAAGAAGCTAGCCATGTAGATGAAAAATATAAAATATCCCAACTGAATACAAATATTACATAACAGCAGCTAATCTGCATATTAATTATAGCTACAATAATGGCAAGAGTTAGGCTTGGTATGTAGCTGATCATGAGACTGCTCCAAATGATACTTGGCAGGGAACGATTGTTTTACTTCTATTTTAATTAAGAAATAATATGGGTGGGAGATTTTAATAGAGGTGAAATAAGTGGCATAAATGCAGAAATACAGCCATTCAAATGTATTACAGACTTCAATACCTTTAGAGAATCAAATACTGAATAGGTCTGTCACATCTTACTGCTCCTTGCTCTTTGCAATCAAAAGTCAATACAGCAAAAAGAACTGTAGGGTATTAGAAACTTTTGAGAATATAAAAGCTACCTTTCTCCTTCAATGAAGTAAATTGTCTACTATTTTATTGAGTGTTAGGAAATGTTATTTTTATAATCTTATGAATAATCACGTCTTTAAAATTCAGTTTGATATATTGACAAAAAGGTTGGCGTTAAGGAAGGAGTACAATAACAGAATTTTCCAACCTTAGTATTTTCAAGTTCACTACCATAAAATGGACTTTTCCATTCAGCTCTTTTTGTTTAATTATCTATAGTTCTGTGACTTTCTATACCAAAATCCATAATTATGAATGTTTTTAGCCAGGTGTGCATCCCTGAGTTTTTAAATAGGGGTGCTGGGTGGAAAAATCAAGAAAGCCTGTGGTTTCATCCTCGCTCTGCCGATGACTTCCCTGGTGACTGCGTTAGGCACTTAATCACCATCTCAGTTTCTTATCTGAGAGGAAGAGATAATTATACCTCTTTTACTATGAAAACCACATTAATACTTTTATTCAGCATAAACTTGTACAGAGTATAAAAGCCCACTGTGCTATGCAGAGGAGGACCATGCGGTAAAAGCTGGCGTGTAGAGTTTGCAATCTGAAAGACAAGCTCTAACAGTTACAAAAGGCAGACGAACTGGTGGGAAGAGAGGAAAAAAAAGGCACCTGTAATTTTTAACAAGTCAGTAGCTGTCGGGGCACTGCGGGGCTGGGGGCTCCCTGAGGGCCGGGGGATGCCCAGGCCGGCAGGCCGGAGCATGGCAGCCAGGGCCTTGTCCCACCGCCCCCGCCAGGGAGCGGGGCAGGCCGGGGCAGCCCCAGCCCGGGGCATCAGGAACCTCCTCGGGGCCAGCCTGGGATGTCAGCCTGTGGGTGAGGGGAACCAGCCGTGGGTTGGCCGGGCTGGTGGGGCCCGGCTCAGCGGGGCCCACGCTGGGTAGGACAGGGCTGTGGGGAGCTGGTGGCTCTGGGCTGGGCTGAAATGGCGTCCTGGGCCACAGGCAGGGTGAGGGGAGACCCTGGGGGAGAGCGGCCAGGGCCAGCGAGGCCTGTGAGTGTCCCCAGGGTCTTAGCGATGTGTATAGGTTGCCTAAAACTCAAGATTTTGTTTTATTAGAATGTCAGGTATATACAGCCACAGAATCCACTCAGAGGGGGAAAAAAAAAAAAAGCTGGGTTTCTCTTTCCTGGTTTATAATCAAAACACTGATGGTGGTCAAGGTATTTCTTTGGGACTGATCTATATGGCTCGGTGATGATATGGGTCACAAATTGCCCCCGGCCAAGCGTTACCCTCCTGGAAATGCTTTGTGCCGTAGTATACGTCACCGTCCTAAGCAGTGAGCTCATTTCTGTAGGTTGTGCTCTGTGCGTGTGCAATGCAGTATGTGTCTTTCAAAGCTGAGTGCAAAACATCTGATTCACTGTATCCAAATTTGTCAGGGAATGAGGTCCAGTTATGCAAATACAAAGTAGCTTTTATCTTCTGTCTGGTTATTCACTTAGGAAGTACTGAATTACTGTTGTAACGCTGAATAATTTGTTGTTATCAATATAGCCACATCATGCACTGTGCTGTAATTGCTAGTAAGAAGATAGAGCCTGCATGTCGAGAGAGAGACTAACAGAGAGCAATCTGCTTATCAAACTAAGTTGCAATACTGAGATTCTCTAAAAACAACTGTTGGTCTCCATATTACATTTTTGGTATTGCTCTACTGTCCTTTTCTGACAGATTCAGTGCAACCGCTTTATTAGTTCAGTACTGCTCTCAGGGATTGCCCTTACCTTTATGTCCAGCTGTGTCCTCGAGGCCATCTCACAGTCATGCGTTTTGACCGTGGTAGTGTAGTATTCGTACTGTAGTAATAATCTCTGAACCAGCGTCAATCATCTTTGCTTGTATAGCGGATATCCCAAAGGGGATTAATGGCAACTGATTTTCTGCTTAGTGGCCTATAGGCAAGTCATGTATAAACAAGATCTTTCAAGCTGCCGTTCTGTGCAGAGCGTTTGAAGCACTAACAGCGTGGATCTATGGGTGCAGTTCAAGTGCTCAGTACTTGACTCAGCACTGAATTTTGCTGCCTCCCCTATGCTTGTTTAGCATAACTTGTCAAGTATTCAGGAAGTCATTAGTATTATGCTGTCACCAAAGGCATGCTCACGGCACAGTCTCATACTTTGCATATGATGTGTTTTAAACGCTGCACAATCCGGGCTGGCTTTTCCTATCATTTCTCGTGATTTCTGTGCAGCATGCATGGCTGTAACACATAGCAGGCAGTTACAGAGCACGACATCCTTGCTGCAGCATCTGTGAGAGACTGATATGAATTCCAGTGCATGTGACTCATCCGTCAGCTTAGTGCAGCTGAGGCTCCTCTTTAATTTCTAGCTCTCCGTTCTACGAGAGCCACTTACTGACAGAAGAATTCCTGTGATATATTAAACACTTTCATTGAAACACTGGTTCACTGATAGCATGCAGATTCTCTATGTATTTTGTTCCCCTCACACTTGATAATTATTGTCTGTTACATCATGCTTCTCAGTGAAGGTTTACTCAGATAATTAATTCTAATGATAGTAAATTAAAAATGTACATAAATTATGTTAGCACCTAGTACACGTTGTTTTGAACTAATACATCAAAAGGTCCTTCAGTGTATGTCTGACAAACTCAAAATATGTAGCTCTGTTATTGCATACATAGCTGTTGGCAATTATGCTGCTTATAGGCAAGGAACATATAGCATATTTGATGCTAAATACATGTTTTTAAGATGTAAAGTCAAGGCGAGGGGTATTATCTAGTTGTTAGTTCAGTACCTCATAGAACATTTCTATTTCTATTACTTCTAAAGAGATATGGCCGAGTAGGTGCTTAATTTCATCTAGCAGGAATCTAGGAAGACTGATTTACTTTTTTCATAGCATTTCTTAGCCACAACTCTACGCTGACTTTCACTGTCAAATTGCTAAACATTAACTAACCCAAATACTCACTTTGCAGGAGGCCCAGAAGATCAATGGTGGTGGAGATACACAGGCAGATGGGGCCTGCAAACCGACAGATGAAAAAGAGGAGAATGTGGCAGCAGAAGTGGGATGGATGACCTCCGTGAAGGATTGGGCAGGAGTCATGATATCTGCCCAGACATTAACTGGCAGAGTACTTGTAAGTTTTCTATGGTTTTCTATGTTCTTAGTTTAAAGAACATTTTTTAACAAACACTGTGTCCCAGCATTAGTGGAGGATTTTTGATTGGTTTGTCGCATCAGCGCTGAGTCAATCCCAGTTTTCTCTTTTGGAAGTAAAATAGCAGACTAATTCCCACTGCAAGAGAGAAGCAGAGACAGCAAGTAAGAAAAACTGACTTCCAGCCCACCCCCCAGCCTATTTCAGTATTCTGGCACCATGATTTTGAACTGTGCTACAAACGCTGAGTTTAGTAATTTCATATTATGTGGTGAAACTATAGGCCTGTTTTGTCTGGAAGTAAAATTGCGCTAGCAAAAATGGAAGCCAACTTGGAAAATAAGCACAGTGTTACAAATGTAGATAGTGATCAGAACTGTAAAGCAAAGACAAGTTTGAATTGGCCATGCAATGGGATTTGTGATACTTTCAATAGACTAGTAATGAGTTTATGGTCTCTTGATCTTTTTCTTTATTAACTTAGGAAAAGCTTCAAACATGTGAACAGTTATGTATCAAATAAAGCCACAAAACAGATATTGATAATATGTGGTTTAAAGTTCCACTGAAAAACCTTTATAGTTTTCACTTTATGTGAATATAATTATTTTATAGCCTTGTCAAATCATACTTAATTGCCAGGGGTTTTCTGTGGAGTTCACTGCAGTAAAAGGAGTCTCCTGTGTGATTTTGATTAGTTTCCTTGTTAGAATGCATGTACTTATAAACTAACAGCTAAAGTGATTTAAATCCCATTTAAAACTTTTGAGAATCCCAGTGAGACTTTGGAACTAGTTTGGATTAAACTGAAGACAGAATTTGTGTCCTTGATTGTTTACTTTGGTTAAGAGATATTTTACTGTGAGTCAGTTCTGGTCTACAGAGTAATTATTTGGGTAGGGGGAGGGAAGGGAAGGCAAAGAAAAGAAATTGCACTTCCCAATCAAGTCTTTCACGGTGAAAAGTTGAGGTGGCTCAATTGCTACTGTCTTGTTTAGTTCTGCAGTAATATTATTTTGATTATTTTTTCCTAAAAATACCTTCTGCCCGTTTGCTTATGTTAAACGCTGACTTTTATCAACACCTTGAAAGCACGTTCCACTGCTGCTTTTGGCACCACGTCTTCTATGTGAAAGTGACATGTTGATCGTCTTATGAAAAGCGGCATATTGATCTTCTGCGTGTTTTCCTGACGTCTTCAGCATTAAAAGTGACAAATCTTAGAGCCCTACTTCTTGTTCCAGTTTAAGTATCAAGACTAAAATTCACCCAAAACCAGTCGTATGCTACTAGCTATGCAGTCAGAAATTGGCCTGTGTTGTTTTTACTGAGGTGTATGTGAGCACAAATACAAATGAACAATCAAGACCAAAACCTAAAATATGAAACACATGTTACTATGTATTTTTATTCAAGATACTGGGAGAACTTATTCAATTCCATTTGATTACTTTGTTTATTTCTTTTGGGGTATTTTTTTGTACTTGCAGCTTACCATTGCATCTTACAAGGGACTCGTTTATTTCCAGAGTTTTTTGTAGACAGCTGGCCAACATCATTGGGTCAGATTATTTCTGAGAGTATGTTTATATTCTTGTCAAGGTATAACAGCAGGTATTGCACACATTTGCGCTCATCAATATGACTAACCATCTGAGAAATAAGTAGTGATGTATGAAGTCTGTTAGCTAATTTTGTTTAGTTTAGAAAACAAGATGCATTTATTTTAATATAGCACTCATCAGTTTCAGGATTTGAATTGATAGGATGTAATTTCTGGAGGACCATTTCCAGTATGAACATTGACTGTTCATTTAGATTTTATTTTATGGTTATGTTTGCTAAAGGCTGATTGCTTCAAAGAACATTTGTGCTAGAGAGAATATTCACGTTATTTGTACATACAGAATGTAGATAAGTCAAGTCAATATTTTTATCAAACTATATTGTTTGAAAATATTATGACTTACTCATGAATTCCTACTAACTTAACACAGCCTGTTCCTGCCAGCTATTATATTTCTGAATCAAAGTGTGGAATTTATTTCCCCCACCCCCCCACCCCCGAAGAAGAAATAACTGGTGGCTTTACAGTGCTATGAAATCAAAATTGTATGAGATACCTGCAGCTAAAGAAATTATAGTACATTTTTACACTGTGAGAGTTTAAATTAAAATCAATCTTACACATCCAATGTTTACAAAAAAAGTTTTTAAAAGTCATCCACTGAAAATAGACTTGGGAAAAGAGTTATAATTGACCTTCAGTTCAGCATGATTACCTGAAGGCTGTTGTGTAACTGCTGCCTGGGTTTATTTGACAAGTGAAGGAGACAAGTTAGCAAAGTGTTGAACACTCATCAGTGTAAAGTAGAATTTTATTTGTGTTTTCTGCTCATGGAAAAAACTCTTACCATTATTCTTACCCGGATAGTCATTTTCTCCAAAGTGAATCTTAGTGGAATGTCAAGTGCTGTTTGTGGAATCAAAACTTGATATTTTTTAGACCTGCCTCTACTGGAGTCTGTCACCGTACCTTTGATATGTCTGGTCTAGCTTTTAACCCTAGTAACTAGTAACCCTAGCTAGTAACCCTACAAAACAACTTCCTAATTTATCAGATCAGTTTGTCCAGGTGCTTTGTGAGTGTTGGAACAAATATTTATATAGTGGCTGCTCCTATAATCACCTTTTTAATATTTAAACTTCGTGGCTACCCACAGGTGAAGAGAAGAAAGGCCAACAGTATGGAAAATGCAGGACAAAAATTGTTTTTAAAGGTCACAGCTCCACATCTGTGCAGCTGTAGTACAAAATTGGATGTTTACATCAACATAGGACAATTTGCCCTAGTCTCTTGTGAAATCAAACGTTTCTGTGTAGACAGTAGATGCAAATCAGTAGGCAACCTTTAAAATACAGACTAGAAGGCCTTCAACATTGTAGCTGTAGAACTAGTTGAAAACTTAACAACGTTTGTTTGTTTGTTTTTTAGTTTAAAACTTACTTCGGGGAAAAACAACATTTTCCAAATCATGTGTTTCAGTGCATCTACTGGAAAGCAAAGGATGTTGCTTGTTATTCATGATCTCGGTCATTGGAGACAGTTAGTGAAATGATTTAATCCATTCCTGACAAACACAGTAGCTCTGAAATCTTTGCAAGAGATGATTCCCCTCCACACTAGTTTTCTTAAAAACATTTAATTCATTGGTGGTTGTAGGGGAGGGAAGAGTTCTGTAACTGAAATAAAAGAAAAAAAATACAAAAACCCAAAACCAAAAAATCATATTCTTAGCCTCCTCCCCTCCCATTCCATTGATAAGAGGAAGAATTACACTTAAAGACTAAACAAAGAGAGGAGAAATTAACACCGTCTCAAACCTTGAAATATTTTGCTTTTGACATCAACTAAATGTTCTGTTTCAAATAAAAAATATATCAGCCTTTTCAAGTATCTGAAACTTTTTGTAAAATCTGTTTGTGATGGGTGTCTGGGCCTGCCAGCAATGTTTGCTGTGAGTTATGGAAAAAAAACCCAACAGGCTTGTCTTTTAAATGTTGGCAGTATTTTTTTACATGTACATGTTAGAGCTAACTAGATGAAACCAAAGATATGGGTATTGTGCAAATTAATCTCTCTATACAGAAATACTTTCACCCATTCTCTGTGGAAGTCATTCTGAACACTTGGCAGAATTAACTGTCTCCCTGGCACAAAAGCTTCTCATACTGGTCCTCTTACATAAAACTCTGTATTGTTTGCACCTGCTCTTTCTCACTTTTTTGGAGCACAGAAGAATTGGTGCTGCCAGTTTCATGCGTTGCTCCACAGAAGTGGTCAATTATGTCTGTTTTTTCAATATGAAATGCTTGCCTTGTGTCATTTTTTAGTATGCTACTCCCTCATCATGTGAGTATCTATGAGCAGGTATATCGGAAAGGGTAGTGTCTCAAATATATCCTGTTAACATCTCCACTTGTATCCTTAGCTCTTGGTTACATGAGGTAGGGGTTGCCCCTGTTACCTGCTCCTCAGAGTGTTTTTGTATTAATTCCAACAGAGAGCCATTAGGAAACAGATTTCTGTTCTTTCAGTCTCTAGGAGTAGTTTTCATTTTGTTAAAAAGAGGTATTTTTTTTATTTTGGGGGGGGGGCAACATGAGAAACAAGAATGGGAAATTTACTTCCTAAATAATTAAACCATCAAATTTTCAAAACATTTGACCATAACTTGTTCTATCATTATGTCAACTTAGTGTCTCATAGCATGTAATTCTTGTCTGTTAATGACAGCAAGATCAGACGGAATAGACGTAGAAGTGGCACGTACATGGGATTGTGCCAATATTGCAGTTGATTCAGTAGTTTATGTGAATATTGTGGAGATGAAGTACTGAAATAGAACTAGACATTCTTACTGCTTTAGGAGCTAAATTCTGCATTTGACATTTCGCAAGTGGTTTATGCACGAAGGAATATTCACACTACCCCGTTTCATCTGAAAGGGCAGGCTTTGGAGGAAGACATTTATACAGGGTGATCCAGAATGTCCTTCAGTTAAACCTTTTTTGGTTTCTGAAGTAGTGCAGAAAAGTGAGCTGGCTAGGCATGGTGCCTACAGTTGTATAGTCAGAATATCCTTTTCTCCTCACTCCTTCCATTAAGGCTGGAACTTAACGTTCTTGGTGGCACAACCTTTGAAAATGTGACTTTTGCTCTTAAATACTGTAGATGAGAATTTTACATACTGTTTAAAAAGGTGTCCATATTAAATTGCATAAGTGCATGATTTAAGGACATGCTAATTGAACCCATGCAGTTCTGTTTGCAGCTGATGTTGAGTGGCATAAATGTAAATAACAATAAAAGGTAACAGTTTACTTAAAATCTGTTCAGGGAAATACGGATTTACTTTGAAGTGCTGTATAATGCTGTAGATGATGGAAGTATCAGATGAAAATTCCTGAGGCGGGTT